TTCTTTTTCTTACAATACCAACCATTTCCGCACACTCTAACCATCCTATTAAACGTTCCAACATACCAAATTCGCTAATCAATGTTTAACATTGTCTCAAAATCCTCAAATTATACTTAGGGTTCGTCCAAACCTTACCAAAAATTATCAATCACCATAAAACTCATAAAATTAAGTTTAGAAGCTAGATTTAACTCCTCAAGATTTTAAATAAACCCATGGGTTCGGTTTAAACACAAGGGAACTGAAATCAAAGCCCCCATTACCCCAAATGTTCAGATTTTTGCATAAAAGAGGGAGAAGAGAAGATGTACAACTTATCTAATGGTGATTTAAGCTTCAAATGCCCTCAAAGTAGCCTAGGGATCGTGCCCTAGTATACCAAAAGCTTTTCTCCATCACTCTCTTGGTATTTGTCTTTTTCTCTTTGTTTTCGATTTGTTTTTTGTATTTGATAAGTGCAAATTTTGCATGTGCGCCGCAGTGCATGGCATAGAAAACTCCACAAAATTTTTAAACTCCCTTCCGTGTCATGGCCTACTTGAATCTCCACCTAGTTCTCTTCTAAGGCTGTCCAAAGATTCAAAAATCATATTAGTCTCCATAAACCTCACTAAATAACAATTTATCTAAATTGACCAAATTACCCCTTGGAAACACTGATAATTACTAATGAGAGAACTTAGAATATTACATCTTGCATTTTGAAGAATCTGAATGGAGGAGAGGAAACTATTGTGGTGTGTACAATGGAGGTCACAGAAAACATGTTATAAAACATCATTTGTTAGAATCTATGTTTAAAGTTAAAAGGCATTAATTTATAAAATCATAAAAGTAATCAATTTCATTATACATAATTTGTCCATGAGAAGAAAATAAAGGTACTGACTCTGAAAAATGAACAAATTTATAAGGACCGCAACTAATTTAACTCTTTTTTTTTTTCTGTCTACGTGAGATAGTTAAAAATATCTTATAATATAAAACTAAATACATACCATTCTTAAAAGACAACACGGTCTAATTTCTTGATCTCTGGGCAACAAGACCCCTGTCATTACAAAATACACAGTATGTTTAAGCACAATAGTCAAATATTCAGTTTGACTCTCATAAATTTAGTGCCTTTCTTAGAATTTCCGTTAAAACAATCTTGCAAGTATGTACCAAAAATGCATAATGTAATCCCTTTCTTCTTATAGGTGGTTCTCTTTCTGATTCAACATTCCAATTCCTTTTTTTTTTTTTTTCCATTTTTCTTGTTCTTGAGAAACAGTGGCCTTTCTCTTCCTAGGATGAAAAGAATTGAATCAAACAGCTGAAGGTCATATGAGCATTACAAACAACAAAGGTCCTTGAGGTTGGCACAAACATTTTCTTATTTAGTCATTCAATTTGTGTTTATAAATAGCTTTTTATACTTGATCATAGTCTAATAACGAAAGTTGTAGGCAAAACCGTTAATTTGAGTGGGTCGAGTTCATTCGGATCGGACTCAATTCAAGCTAAACTTATTCGTATTAAGCTTAAAATATCCTACCATATAAAAGAAACTCATATAGCCAAGTTTAACCTTAATGTCTCGGGTTTTTTTGGGCTGGCCAAAATACATGTATTGTTGAATATTATTTTATTTTATTTTTTATTTTTTATATAATTTTAATTTTTATTTTAAAAAAATTAATATTTTTAATTTTTATATTATTTTATTAATAATAAAAAAGAAATTTTGAGCCCATTCAGGTTCAAGCTTGGCTTAAATTTCTTCGAGTTTATTCAGGCAATCCAAATAAACCCTAGAGTAAAATACTTTGAAGTTTTTTTTTTTTACCAACATAAATACTTTGAAGTTTGAATAACTGAATAAATTTTGGAATCTGTCTTTTTGTTTTCTTAATCTGCATGAAAATTGTCAGAAACACATTTTATAAATAGAGCAAGAGTATTTACTAAATGTACCACCCTTTTAATTACAGATTTACCTTTTAGCGCGTTTCAAACGAAACAAACAAATGTGTAAAGTATTATGTTTACAAATAATTCTGAAAAAATTTGGGTCAAACACAAAACTAAATACCCTTAATTTGAATTCTCAAATTCTTTATTATTATTAATAAAATTAAATTAAAATTAGATAAAAAATAATAATATTAATTTTTTAAGATAAAAATTTAATTAAAATTAACTTAAAAATAAAATAAAATTTAACAATTTAGATAATTGAGCTAGTCCGAATAAGTCTAAGAGGCAAATGTGTCCTTTTATAAAAATTAATAGATAGCTATATACCATTGTTAATTTAAGGATATTAAAAGTATTAAAAAAAGTTTTTTAGTATTTTTATACTTTATGTTTGCTTCTTTTTTAATGAACATTAGTTAAATTTATTGAAATGGGGATTATTGAACTCATTAAAATAAGTTTATAAGTATTTTTACACTTTTGTTTACTTAAAAATATTGCAGTTGTTTTTGAAGAAAAAGTTGTAGTGTATTTTCGCTCTTTAACAATTTTTTTTAATTTCTTTACAAGATAAGTTAAAAAATGTAAACTAATTTATGTGAATTAAAATTTAAAACTCGTGTGTGTATATATTTATATATATAGATATATATAATTTTTTTGTTAAAAATGTTAAAAATGTTAAAAATGACTTCTAACTAAAAGTTTTTTCTTAATTCTGATAAAATGTTAAAAATGACTTCTAACTAAAAAACATAGAGAGTAATTTTAAATACTTTCAGTTTTAAATGTAGAAGCTAGTTAACTAATTTGCATATTAAAAAAGCTACTCTCTTGCATTTTGATGCATTTTGAAGAATCTGAATTGAGAGGAAACTGTTGTGCTGTATATAATGGAGGTCACAGAAAACAATGTGTTACAAAACATTTTGTTAGAATCTATATTTAAAGTTAAAAGGAATTTTATAAAATCTTAAAAGTAATCAATTTCATTGTACATAAATTGCCCATGAGAAGAAAATAAAGGTGCTGACTCCAAAAAATTAACAAATTTTTAAGGACGTCAATTAATTTTAACTATTTTTCTATTTATGTGAGATAGTTAAAAACATCTTATAACATGAAACTAAATGAATACCATGCTTAAAAGACAACACAGCCTAATTTCTTGATCTGTGGTCAACAAGACCCTGCACAATAAAATGCACATTATTTTTCAAGCACAACAGTCAAATATTCAATTTGACTCTCATAAATTTAGTGCCTTTCATATAATTTCAGTTAAAACAATCTAGCAAGCATGTACCAAAAATTCAAAATGTAAATCTCTTTCTTCTTATAGGTCGTTCTCCTTCTGATTCAACATTCCAATTCCTGTCCCCCCCCCCCCAATTTTTCTTGTTCTTGACATACAGTGGCCTTTCTCTTCCAAGGATGAAAAGAATTGAATCAAAACGCTGAAGGTCATATGAACATTACAAACAACAAAGGTCCCTAATGTTGGCAAAAACATTCTTATTTAGTCATTGAATTTGTGTTTAAAAATGGCTTTCTATAGTTGACCATAGTCTAATCATGAAAGTTGTAGGTAGAGCCAATAGTAGGCCGGCCTATTCGGATCGAGCTCAATTTGGATTGGGTTTATTCAGATCGAGATTAAATATCTTACCACATAAAAGAAGCCCATATAGTCAAACCCGACCCTAATCCATCAGATTGTTAAATATTATTTATTGTATTCTTTATTTTTTATCTAATTTCAATTTTTATTTTAAAAATTAATATTTTGAATTTTTATATTATTTTATTCATAATAAAAAAGGAATTCAAGTATTCAGGCTAAACCCATTCAGATTTGGGCTTGACTCAAATTTCTTTAGGTTTATCCAGACAACTCGAATAAGCTTAAAGAAAAGAATATCTTTAAAACTCTCAAGCCTGGCTCCAAAATTTTTCAGGCTTATTTGTACTGGCCCATCTAGCTTAGCCCAATTACCATCTCTAGTTAAATGTGACTATAAATCTAATTATCAAATAAAATTAGAACCATGGAAAAGCCACCAGGCCAAGGTGCAATTCTTAGCAAACCATCAACAATATTTGTTCAGTCAAATATAGATTCAGTCAAAGAAGTCATACAATGATTAACAGGTCCATTAGACTGCACGACACAAGCAGAAGTAGCAAAAAGGTATTGGCGTGAAGAGGACAATATCTAAACTCCATGAGAGGAGGCAATATACAAGACCTAAACTTGAGATAGTTAAACCCTCTTTTCATTGTAAATCAATTGTATCACACAATCACCACTATAATTTTTCAGCCTCTAAGTCAAGAGATTCTAGCTTTCCTTCAAGTCCCATACCATGGAATTCAAATCATATACCAAGTCCCAAACCCCTTCAACAATTTTTTTCTCGATTAACTATTTTGGAAGAGAAAGAAGAGCCTGCAATAGCTGAACTAAACATAGAAGAAGAAGAAAAGGCTATCAAAGAGAGTTTTATTTGCATCCATCTCCACGGTCGAAGTCTAAGTCAGGATACACTAAATCAGAATTACTTTGTTTTCCCTTGTACCCCATAATACTAGTGGGAGAGTATAATTTTAACCATCCCCAAGTCTCTAGTTTGTATCTTTCCAATCTTCAGACTCCAGATATCATGCCATCATATGGCCAAAGTACTTTGAAGTTTGAATCAGTGAATAAATTTTGGAATCTGTCCTTTTGTTTTCTCGTGCTAATCTCACCTACAAGTATTTAAGTAAATACTTTACTGGTGTTACAACGGAAGAAAAAGACGGGCAATTTGGCTAAATTTGAAAATTGAATCAAGCTTTGAGACATATCGAATGTCACATGAACCTTCATCAACAATCACTACCATCTCAAGATCAAGATAGATGCAGAAATAACAAACATTGCCGTGAGAAAACAATAAAATGTCCCCAGACAACTATCCTCCCAAAATGGGATGGAGAGTGAAATATGAGGAACAAGTTTTACCATCCATAACCTTCTTTTATATACTCCCTTCATTCAGTTACATAAGGTACCTTCCAAAAATAAAAAAATTAATCCAAAAATCATAAAGTGCCTAATCAGAATATCAAATGATGTCACAGTTTTATCCCTATAATTGTCAAGGCTTTCTCGCAATTTGACAAAAGCATGATGAGGTTCTCTTTAATTGATAAGGGTACAATTGAAATATCGGGATATTTTTGAACAAATAAAGAAATCTAACAAATTTTCTTAATTTTCTTGAAAATTGTCTAGAAAACCTTGTATAAGGGACTGGAGGGAGAATTTATTAATTTTACCACCGTTAAATTTCAGTTTTAGTGCATTTCAAATGAAACAAATAAATGCATAAAGAACTGCTTTGCATTGTTGGCAGGGGAAAAAATCTGTTTTATAGTAGCTTCATTATAATCAAGCCACCAGCTTGTACCTAATGATAATAACAATAAGAGATTAATCTAATAATTGAACAGTTCACCTTACCGCTTCCACAAGATCTGTGATTTCAGAGTCCACAAGTCCAGACCCCACTCACTTTAAACCATCTTTTAACTCAAAAAAAGTTATGGTTCCACCGTTTTCTGTGTCAATCATCTTGAATAACTCCTTCAATCCAGCAATTTCTTCCCCAGAGCGCCTCTCGGCAATAACCTAGGATTAAGATAGATGGTCAATGTAATAGTCTGAAAACATAACCTCCCGAAAAATATGACATGAATTACTTAAATTTCCCAGCAAAGATAGAAGTTAAAGGAATTCCAAACACAGATGGAAAAAAAAGAAGAAAAAAAAAGAAGTTTAACGCATATGAGTTAAGTACCATGTAAGGTATCTGGATTCAGACAAATCAACCAGTTGATTTGAAAAGTTCATTGCTTGCTGTCTAGCTGAATGTTAATAAAGGCATTTTGAAAAATGTTTTCACCGCAACCAGAAGATAAGCAATTTAAGTATTTTTAACATATTATTAGCACATAAATACCATTTAACTTCAGTAGAAAGGTAATAGAAAGTCTTATTGATGTAAGACACACACACATTTGCACATATCTGAACAAAGGGAGAGAGTAGGGAGAAATAGAAACAGAGAGGGAGAAATGAGAATGAAGAACAGAACAATAGGGGGAACAAGAGAGGGAGAGGCAGAATGCAGAGAGAGGAGGAAGGCTACAAGAAAACTCAATCAAAATATTTCATTCATCAATCATCCTTACAAGAGCAAAGTCTTCTCTATTTAAACTAAAGCTATAATGCCTAATAAAGAAACCTTAATAACATCTCCATATAAAGTCAATGTTAAGATTTCCTCTTACAAAATACTAAAATAACATAACGGAAACATATTAAAATAATACAAAAAAACTTATTTCTTTCTAGAATAATAATAATCTACTAACTTAGGTTTCTTCAAAATACATTATTCTTATATTTCATCATTTCTCCCCTGCTTGATGGAACTCTCCACTAGAGAGTAAAGAAGTTGATGTAACTCCACTAGAGCGCGATGCAAGGAATTCCTTCCAATAGCAACTAATTTGGAGATCCTTCCCAATATACAAGGTAGTGGAAAATGAGACCATGTGGAGAGTAAGCAATGTGATCATAATGATTTGGAAAACCTTCCCAATGAACAAGGTAGTTGTAGAGGTTGTTATCAAATGGAAAAACAATATGTTCCTTCATAACCAAAACAACTTTTGCAGCAAATGGTGTTGCGCATAGATGATTGGAAGTAGGAATCTGACAAAGTTGAACACTCCTCCTGTCAAGATCCCCTAACTTGATAAATCTAAGGCCTGTAACTCAAAATCTTTGGCCACCAAATTCAAACCTTGATTCAATTTAAGATTCATGCCTTCATGTTTCTCTTTATTACTTATATATTATGCACTTATTTTGTTATTTATAGATCATAGATTATAGATATTAAACAGGTAGATGTTAGCTTAATATATGAATAGCAGATAGTTATAAGCCTAAAAAGGTGGTACCCCACTAAACAAGATGTACAAAGTAACCCCAAAACTTCACACATTTGACTTAGTGATAGAAAATATAGGAAGCATTATTCTAGAAAAAAACAAGTTTTCTTTATGTTCATTTAATATTTTGCAAGGGAAATCTGAAACCTCACTTTATATGGACATGGTATTAAGGTTTCTTTTTGTGTTATTTTGTTAGAAGGGAAATCTGAACATTAGCTTTATATAGAAAAGTGATTAAGATTTCCTTAATAGGTAGGAAAGTTAGTTTAAATAGATTATCATGCATTTGTAATCGGACACCCTTGATGAATGAAATATTGCAATTGAGTAGTCAAATAGCTTCTCTCTCTCTCTCTGTGTTTTTGCCTCTCCCTCTCTTGCTCTCCCTATTTTGTTCTTCATCTTCTTCATTTCTCCCTCTTTATTTCTGGTTTTTTCTACTCTTTCCCTCTATTCAACCCTGTGCAAATGTGTAAGAGCATGTATTACATAAATTTGGTATCAGAGTCAGGTTTATACCTTCCTTGGTTGTTTCCGTTACTTGAAAATCATAGAAAATTTGCCTAAAAACCTCAGACCCTCTATTTCACACTGCCTACCCAGAAACCCCCACTTCCAAACATCAGACCACTAAAACCACCACCACCATGTTCGAGAGGAGGAATCCGGTCAGAACATGAAGTCTCGCCTCTTCCTCATCCGCATGCACCTCCACACGCCAATGGAGTGTCCTATGCATGGTCTTCACACACCCCACGCACCGGTGAAACCGCCTACACATGACTCCACACGCTGACGTGAATAGCGCCAACAATCTTATTTTTTTGCATTTTTAGGTGCTTTCAACTTAAGGGTCCCAAATCATTAGTCAAAGCATTATTTAGGGTAAAAGTATAACTTCTAAGCTTTTAAAGCTTTATTGGTAAAGCTATTGACCCTCTCATTTACCTTACTTATATGGTTATTAGTAGGAGGTTGTTCTACCTTTTATGCTTCATTTAAAATCTTTTGTTTGGTCCTTTTTTAGCATGCAATTTAAATTTTTAAATTGAGTTTAGATTAATATTCTAAAAAAATATATTTTTATTTAATTGATCATTATCATTATTAATTTGTCACTCTTGACAACATTGTTCCCAACCTAGGACACACTTACCTCACACACAGTTCAACCCTATACCAGGGTTAAGAAATTAGTCAAAGTTTTAACAGTTTCCTTGTGAGGTTACTGACCTTCGAAGGTTACTGTGAACACTTCACTCAGGTTGTTACCTCTTTAACATACAATCCTCAAGGAATTTTAAATTTCCTGAGGATTAGTTTTGTTAAAAAGGAACTTCACCTTTTTTAGGTGAAGACAACTTGGGAACCTTTTCCTTAAGGTTTCTAAAACCATCCTAAACCCATGCACTTTAAAATACCACTCTTGTCATTGTATAACTATTCGTGATTTATATGACAAGCAAGCCTTGCTTGACCAAGAAATTACTGTCCTTAAATTTGTCATGGCCAATAACTTTCAAATCACCTAAAATCACATTAAGGAATCTGAGAGGACTCAAAAGGCATATGTGGACCAACAAATTGATGAACTTAAGGAAATCATGAATAGTAAATTTGAAGAGATTATGGTTACAATTCAGTTGGAATACAAACATGATACAGGAAAGGTAACTAAAGGGTTGTTAGAAAGATCAATATTCAAAGGAGAGCCAAGTTTCAAGAATTAGACCCTCTCCTCGTGAACTCATCAATAATCAATTTGAAGATTTCGATGATACTTGGGATGGTCAAGACCACAATGAACATCATCATAGACCACCTCAACCAATCCATCGAAATGGTAGAGAAAACTTTAAAGGGGTGCATGCCGATGACATCACCAAAAGGGTTAGAGTTAAGGCCCCTGAATTTGATGAAAGATTAAATGCCAGTGCTTTCTTAGATTGGTTAGCCAACATGAAAGACTACTTTGAATGCTATGACATGAGTGATACCCAACAAGTTCAATTTGCAAAGATGAAGCTTGTGGGTTCTGCGGGAAAATACTGACAAAATGTTCAAAAGAACAATGAGCGATAGGGATATCCTCTAATTAAGGTGTAGGATGAAATGAAGGCAAAGTTGAAAGTGAAATGTGAGCTGCTTCATTACAAGAGTCAATTGTACAAAAAGTACCTCAACTTGAAGCAAGTTTTCACTGCTTCTGACTATATATCTCGTTTCAATGGCCTTATGATTTGAAGTGATGTGGATAAAGAAGAATGGCGCACAATCACTAGGTTTGTTAATGGACTCCAACCATATATACAAAAGGAGCTTAAGCTGAACTTCCCTAAGTCTCTTGAGATAGATTACCATAAGACCTTAAAAGTAAAGTCTCTATTGCAATACTCTTTTGTTAGGTGTACTGACTTGCAGAACAATCAGTTTCGATAGGCAGGAAGTTCAAATCTGATAGAGCGACCATTTGGAACACCTACATCTAGACCTAACACATCCTCTGCACCCGCTCAAACAACTGGGTCCAAGAGTAATATCTCTAAGCTTATTGAAGCTCCCCACCCTAGTAACTCCCTTGTTAAGAGTTTTTGTTGTCACTGAAATAGTCACATTGCTTCGAAGTGTCGATAACGAGCTTTAATTATTGACTCACCTTTTAAGGATGAGGAGAATGATGCTGATGCTGACTTCGTTGTGAAACCAATTGAGTGTCCTTCAAATGTTGATGAAGACATCATCATTGATGAACATGGGTGTGAGACATGTCGAGTTGGAGTTATGAGATGCTTTTTGTCAGTCCCTCTGCCTGGTGATTCATGAAAGCAAACTAGTATTTTCCAAACCTTTATGAAGTGTGGAGGCAAATCTTGCAAGTTGGTGATTAATAGTGGGAGCTCTAAAAATGTGATTTCTAGTCAAGAAATAACCCAACTCAATCTCAAGAAAGAACTTCACCTAGAACCTTTTTGAGTTGTGTGAATCGACAAAACTTCTTTGCCAATCACTTAACATTGTCGCATTCCTCTGCAACTAGGTGACTATAAAGAAAAGGTTCTTTATGATATTCTCTTGATGGATGTTGCTCACATTCTATCAGGTTAACCTTGGCTTTATGATCACAATTTCATCAATCATTGTCAGGAAAATACATATACATTTAAGTATAATGACAAGACAATCTTGCTACGTCCTGCTAGGCCTAACACTAATGGTTGATATCTGAGTAAATCGAAAGGTACAAAGCCCAAAGGCCAAAGTTTCCACCTTTTAATAGAGAAATAGTTTGTGCGGAAAAGCAGAAACAATACACTTGTGCTTGTTCTAGTGTTTAAGATCTCGCAACGAATTGCTTCAATTACAACTACAAAAAACGCCTAGGGAACTGCAACAGCTCTTAAAAAGAATTTAGGACATCACCCTCAATGAGCTTCCATATGAGCTACCACCAATGAGGAATATCCAACATACGATTGATTTTACTCCAAGTTCACAACTCCTCAACCTAACACATTATAGGATGAATCCAAAGGATAGGGAAGAACTCAACCAACAAGTTAATGGACTATTGGAGAAAAGTTATATCCAACATAGTATGAGTCTTTATGCAACACCCACTCTTTTGACTCCAAAGAAAGATGGCTCTTGAAAATGTGTAAACGGCAA